CAATCATACACACACACACACACACAGACACTTTTATATATACAAATACACATAAATAGTATAAAATAAAGGCCCACAAAGTTTAAGGAGTAGAATAGTTTATGTCTTTTTCTTCTCTTCATATCCATTCTCCTTAATTTAATGTCAAATGTTCTTTTGCTTTTTCATTTAAATATATGTATATCCTTAATTAGTACTTTATTCAGTTTTTCTTGTTTTTTAACGTTATGTAAATGGAATCATAGTGTCTTCATTCTCTTTCTGCTTAACAATATATTTTTAAGAACTGTCAATCTGTGCTAACGTGGATGTGTGCCCCATGGTTCATTCATTTACCTCAGTATACAATACCCCATGGAATGAACACACTACAATTTAATTTTCATTTCTATTGCTAAGGGTAATTTGGCTTTTAAAAAATGTTCTCTTTTGAACAGCTATGCTATAAGCATTCTTCCACATGTCTCTGTGCAAGAGTTTCTCTAGGGCAAGCATTCCTAACATTAACAGGAACCTGCATCCTGATGCATCAAGCATCCAGAATGGGCTAATGATAAGCCAGGATACTGACTCCTGCCTTGCTGAGGCCAGGTGGGCAGGGCCTGGGTGGTGGGAGCTTAGTAAGTATGGCTTGACTAAATAATTGTTTGCCTGTAGCAATAAGCAGCTCCACTGTTTCCTCCACCAAGGGCTCTTAATATCCCTAACCATGCAGTGGCTGTGTTGGCCAGAGGGCATATGGTAAAGTCATCAGTCTATAGCAAGAAGTTTTCCACTCCCAGAAGCAGATTATGGAATCTGTATTGCTTCATACGCTTGAAAACACTCTCCAAGTTGCCACTTTTGCCAATATGGCAGATATAATATCATATTTGTTATGATTCTAGTAATATACATTTTGGTAATGACCAGAAAAGTTGAAGAGTTTTTCCTGGGTCAACATTATTTCTTTTTTGTTGTGCTTTAAAAAAAAGTATTTGGGGGCATTTCTTCCATTTTATTTCGTGCTTTGTGTAACTTTCATTTTGTGCTTTTTTATTTTCCCCTTTCTTGCCTTTTGTTTCAAATTGATTGACTTATTTCCCTCTCTTATTCCTACCTCTTATTCTTTTTTTTAGAGAGAGAGAGAGAGAGAGAGAGAGAGAGAGAGAGAATTTTTTAATGTTTATTTTTTAGTTTTCGGCGGACACAACATCTTTATTTTATTTTTATGTGGTGCTGAGGATCGAATCCAGCGCCCTGCGCATGCCAGGCGAGCGGGCTACCACTTGAGCCACATCCCCAGCCCCACTACCTCTTATTCTAATTTTTCTTCCTACTAGTTGAGCATATGTATTCTTTTTACTTTTCATAAGTGCTCAATCTATTGATTTTAATGCATACATTTCAGTTAAAGTATCTTTACTTTTTTCCCTTCCCATACAAAAATGGTAGATTGTCTTAACCAGTAGAAGTTGTTTTTTTTCTCATTTTTTTAACTTTCACAAATTAGAAACAATTATTTTCTTAAATTGCATTGTTCAAGTTTACCAGTATCTTCACTATTTTTTTTATTACATCTCAGACATGTAGGATGATTTTCTTTCTAAATCTACATCCTCCTGGAAGTACCTTAAGGAAGAATAAGTTGGCGGAAAACTTCAATTGATTGTCTACTTATTTTTTCTTCTTTTTCCCATACCTTCTTATCATATTTAAGTTATTTTTGTCTTCTGGCTGCCATAGCTGCTGAGAAAAAGCAGATATTTATCCAGTTAGCCCTCTTTTGTCTGTAGTAATGTATCTATACTCTGCTTCAAAGGGCTTCTTTTCTCTGTTTTTCTTTTTCTTTTTTTTTATAATGAAGTAAGTGTGCTTCTGTTTTTATTTATTCTGAATGGCTTTTGTCAGGCTACCTAAATGTGAAAATTCTTTGGAATTATTTCAGCAATTCCAAAATAAAAACAGAAACTCGCCTTTCTCTTCAAATGGTGTCTCTCTTCCATTATTTTCTTTTAAAACTCTAATTAAAACTCTTTATACATTCTAGTTAAAAATATGTGCTTCTTCCAGTTACTTGTGATCGCCCTTTTCCTTTTTCCTCTTTCAGATCTGCCATCTTTCTCTCATTGCTTGGTCATGAATTTTTTCCTCTTTATCTTCTAGATTATTGTCTCTTTGCTATATGTGTCTATTCTTTTCTTTTGCTGTTCACTGAGCTTACAATTTCAATTATTATGGTTTTCATTTTTAGAATGCCTGCTCATTTTCCACATATGCTTGGTCAATTCTGATAATTTCTTGATTCCTTCAGTATATTTCTCTAATCATAGAAATGGAAGCTCATTCTTATATTCTGTTGATAATAATTACAGTGGATGCCATCTTTGAGGTTCTGAATGAATAGTTTGCTTTTTTTCTGGTTCCTTGATTTTATGTTTTCTCATACTCCTCTGATTTTTTAGCTCATTTTTCTTGGTATTTTATTGTGAGAATTTTTTGAAGCCTAGTTTTCAGCTTTCAACTTCATTCTGAAAATGATTGATACTTATTTTTTTTCCAGGTATTTTAGGGCAGTACTAACTTGGGATTCCCTGTTCTAAATTTTAGCCATTTTTGTGGAGGAGAGGGAGGTGATGCATTTCAGGTAAAAATGAATTGAGGCCCCAAATCCATGTAAGTTAAGTCTTGTCATTAGAAATTCCTAGATAATAATTTCTTGTCCTTTCCACCCAAAGCCAAGGCTTATATAGCATATGGTCTCACAGCCAAGCTCCGTCACTCTCATAGAAGTTTTTAAATCCTGATTTATGCTTTGAGGTTATTGTCCTCCCAGGTTTTATGAGAGATGTTCTTAGATCTTATACATCATTCAAACTAATAAATAAAGAAAAAAGGATACATAATGGAATACTATTCATCCATACAAAGGAATGAAATCCTGTCATTTGTGACAACATGGATTGAATTGGAGATCACCAAGTTAACCAGAATAAAGCTAAGACACATATCATATGATCTCATTTATATATAGAATCTAAAAAACAAAATAAAACAAAACAGAAACAAAAAATGGATCTTCTAGAAATAGTAGTATGGGTAGTTGGGGAGACTAGGGAGGTGGGAAGGATTGGTAGAGGTTGATCAGCAGGAAACAAGTCATAATTAGAGGTTCTGGTGAGTTATTGCATAGTTGGGTGAGTATAGATAAGGATAATATACTGTATATTTTAAAAAGTTAGAATGTTTTCAACATAAAGAAATGATAAATGTTTGAGGGGATTGATATGTTTGCCTTGATTTGAACATAGTATATTACATAGTGTATACATATATTGAAATATCACATGGTACCCCATAAATATGTGATTTTTGTTTTTATGCATCAGTAAAAAAAATCTTAATTTAAATTTTAAAAATTTAAAAAGAGATAAAAAAACAAAACAAAAAACCCAGATTCTAGGCCTTCAGGAATTGCCATATAATCCCCAAGGCAAAGAAAGGCTCTGGAACTCATGAAAACAGTAAATTCAGCATTTGATTATTTGGGGATAGAATGGAATTCTGTTACTTTCCCATCAGCTTGACCACACATTAAAAATATCTTTTATTTCGATTTTTTTTTTTTAGAATTTATTTTTGTATTGTGCTATGATTTGTTGGTATATCCTGGAAGTAGCTATCTCCTTATCCTTTATAAATCCTTAAGTCCTTCATAGGGTTCTTCTGTTGGGATCAGTTTTCCTTCATCCTCTGTTCAGCCTTTGTATTGCCTATGCTTAAAAACCTAGTTTTGATTTTTCATGGAGTTTAAAGAAATGAAAAACTGATGTTTTGCTGAGTCATCGTCTGCAGTCTCCCTTAGTCTGAATGGCCATGGATGTTACAGAATGACCAACGTTATCTTTGGACACCTTCTTCTCTGTAAAAAAACATGCAAGGAAACATCGTACTTGAGACCACTTCCAAAGTGGGGGCTGATTTGACTCTGTGAGCAGATTTGGGGGAATATATGTTTTTCCCATGAATATCACAACTTCCTAGGGTTGCTTATATGGTTTAAAAACCCTTCTGTGGTTTATGTGCATTTTGGGACACTCAGATTCAAGAATGCAAAGAGATTGACTTATGAAAAATCCCAGAAAGATGTGTTTGATGCCTTCTGTTTCTCCATGTGTACAAATGATTGACATTTTTTTTTTCTGTTTATGCCATTTTCCACACTAGAAGCAGTAGTGGTAAAAGGAATGCAGCTCACTGCTGTTTCATAGAAGGTGCTAGTGACATGACTGACTTCCACAGGCAAACACGAGCATTAATAGTCCAGCCTGGCAGAAAAATCTTTTCAGTTTATTTCACATGTTTTAATGTATAATTTTAATTTTATATGCATGTGCTAGTCATTATTTTCTTTTCACAGTTACCTAGTTTTACAGAAACCTTTCATTTTACCTTGAACCATATATTTATGTAGGCTTCTGGTATGGATACAAGACAGTTTAAAAATATGAAAATTCCTTGCTACTTAGAAAATGCCCCTGGCCACATTTGGGGGTAAAAGTGTTGAGGAATAATATGCTAATTATAGATTATCTTTTTATAACAAACATACTCCAAAATTTCACACTTGTAATCAAATAAAAATACTTCTAGCATCAATATGCAGGATGGAAGACTACAGATCTATGGTTAATCAGTACAAGGATTTAATTATTAAGACTAAGAGGGAATTGTCACAAAGTTAAAAAAAATCTAGATAAGATTTTGAAACAGGATGGGAATTGATGGATTAGACAGCTGTTTTTCTAAAAAAGAAGCCTGAGGTGTAGTAATATTGTATGAATTGTCAGAAGTAAGTTTGGTACTGGTTTATTCTGGGATTTGGGGAAGTATGTGGGAGAAAGAGTCTGAAAACTGATTTAGGTGAAATCCATTCAGGTTGTTAAAAGTTTTGAAAATGTTGCTAGGAGAGTATTATTAATGACTTATATCTGCAGCCAAGTGTTCAGGATACATCTGAGATGAATTGCCCTGGAGAGAATAGGAACTTGAAGAGAAGTCGCAAGCAGGTATGAGAGAGGAGAGAAAGATTTTAAGAGAGAATGGAGTTGAAATATCAAGGTGGAATGGACTTGAGACTTGGATCTATTAGTATGTATAAGGCTAAGACTGACCCCTTAAAACAAAAACTGAAATTGACTTTTCAAAACAGACCAAAACCAAACGACCAACAAACAACAGCTTCTAGTTATGTTAAGTAGGAAGAAATATGCAGAGATGGAGAATGTGAAAGTATGACATCATCAAAAAAAATGAAGACATCAAAAAGAACATCTTAAGGAAATCCTCAACAATGTTTGTCAGACTGTTTTACTAACAGCCTTCACATCTGACATTCTTCATTATGGAGAACTTGCTAATTTAGTTAGTTTGGCCAAGAAGGAAGTTGTTGGGGAAAAATAAAAAGAAAACAAAGATGGGAACTATAAATAGTAGTATCACAAAAGGACAATGTTCCCCAAGCCAAACACATGACTTTATGTGAAAGTATGGGATATAAATGTTAAAAATTAATTTCTGTAAGTCCTTATTATTTTTGTGGTCATAAAATATGTCATGGCACATCTTGAAAGGCAATAGTTAAAAAAAGTTCCTGTATCATGCTTTATTATCACCTGTGTGTTGCACATAAATTTTAAGAAGTTCAGTACTATTCTTGAGGGTGATTGTTCTCTTTGAAAAAGAACATATGATCATATGATCAGGGAATTCTAAATGTAACAAGTATTGAGATAATGCAAACCAATTTCAAGGTTCCTGTGTTCTAATATAAATGTGGGAGAAAGTTTAATCTTTGCTCTAAAGAAATTAATGTCATGAAAGGAAGTTAACATATACAATTAACTCGGGGTCTGAGAGATCACTATAAGAAAGAATGAAGCTTAGCTCTATGAGATATTTATGATTTTAAAAAATATTTTTAAAAAAATAATCAGTGTTAATACTGAATATTTTGTAGTATAAACACAACTTTTTTCACATTCCATCTTTACACTGACCTTTTTATTTTCTAAGAATTTATAAAAGGAATGCTTTTGGCTTTAGTCAAATATACATTTGAAACTTACAGTGCAGAACTAGAATAAGCATTGTCCTTGTGATATTGTGTGCATGCCATATTATCAAAAACCAAGAAACTTTCTGTCACTTATTTCTTATAGAGTTTGAGGGAGATAACTCAGCAACAACCTCAACCCCCTTTTTGCTGATTTATCAAGATTACTTTAAATTTTTCTTCCCTATTTTTTCAAGTTACTGCATGTAAAATAATTGTCATAGACCATTATAAAGTAGATATACAATCCATTAATGACTTTATGTATCAATGTTACCTTTGGATCCTACCAAATGCCCAGAGAGAGAATGGCTCACTTATTATGAGGTCTGAATTGTCTTCCTGAATTGTTCCTTCTATCATTGATAAGTATTGAACAATTATGTAAGAAAGATCCATATTTAACATTGTTGTGTAATTGTGATTGATGCTGTTGAAGTTAGTACGTGGTATCAGTCTTTTAAATGACATATGGAAAAAAATTTCACTAAAAATAAGGTGGCTTTTCTTACTGACATTGTGAATGCTAGACTACTGTTTTTTTCCCCTCATTACTTTATATATTAGTCTTTCAGTGCTGTCTTAACCAAATACCACAGATTCAGTGACTTAACCAACAGAAATTAATTTTCTTACAATTCTGGAGTCTGGAGGTCCAAGATGGAGGTGCCAGTAGGGTTGGTTTCTTGAGGCCTATCTCTCTATATATAGCTTGGAGATGGTGACCCTTTTTGTGTGTCTTCGTATGTCTTAATCTGTGGTGTCTCTTTCTCTTATAAGGACATTAAACTTGCTGGTTTAGGGCCCCACACTTTTGACCTCATTAAGTTTACTGTGTTAAAGACCTTTTCTACAAATATAGGCACATTGAGGGAATTAAGGCTTTGATACATGGATTTGGGATGAAGGCAGTTCCATTTATAACAGTTTGGTAGCTAGGAATTTGAGAACCAAATCTGTCTGACACATAAAGTAATATCAGAAAATATTTGTCATTACTTTTCTATCTATATTTCCCCTATACCTGATTTTTTAAGTTTCTTTTTTCATAAATACTCTATTTTTTGTAAACTGTTAAGTCTTTTTTTTTTTAAGACAGAGGACAAATAAGTAAATAAATAAATTATCATCTGTAATAGATTTTTAAGATATTTGCTTACTGAAACAGTAGAAATTGTATTTCTGGGTGCCAGAGATGCTGGGGGAACATTTAGCAATCATACTCCTCTTGGCATACTTACAAATTTATATGTTTTGGTTTATTTTATAATAGAGTCTTTCTCCCTTTTGTAATATAACAGAACTTCAGTGGACTTAAAATTTTACAGGCAGTGAAGTAGTTTTTCTTCTTATATCCACTCTTCTTTCCCTTATTCTAGAAAACTTCTGTGAAAAAAGAGCAAAAACCTATCATTCCAGAACCAAAGCCAGGACCCAGGTAAATCTTTTATACGACAGCAAAAAGAGCGTAAGTGAAGGGGCTTATTTCTAACATTGTCAATGTACTTGCTGACTTTAGTGTCTAGGTTTGAAGAGGTTTAGGTGGTTAAGAGCCCAAGTTCTGATAGATGTTTTTCATTTTTGCCATTTTATTCAACTTAAGCAAAGAGAATAATACTTTTCTTCCAAGTATTTTGGTAATCAGGCAGGAGACCCAGCCTGATGGTATCTGGGTTGATGCAATGTGAATATTATTGCCCATGTTTAATCTGATTTTTGTTTATTAGAAGTTATATGCCATAGTTCATTATTAGAAGTTATTTGCCATCTTTCAGTGATTCTTCTAGGGTATTCTTAGGTTGTTTGTACTTCATATACCAAATTTATTGATAAATTTGTGAAAATCTACTGATTTTAGATTGGACGGTGAGATGGAAAGAAGGGATTACGAGAAGTTAATAGTGATGGATATTTCTGAAAAGGGCAGGATTCACACTTGTGTTTTTTATTCACTGGGAATATATTTATTTATTACTTATACATGATTATAAGTTGGAAAATGTAAGGCATACTTGAAAGCACTTGGGAATGGCGACATATAGATGCTGGAGAAAAGTTGTTTGATTCTTGAAAGAAAGGATATACAATGGATGAGATGTATAAAGTGGGTAGATATTAAGCAGAATCCCTCAGCATTATTGGTAGGAAGTATCAGAAGACTGAATTTAGGATTTCCAAAATGATTGAAAATTGGTTAGGGAATCTCACAAAGGAGAAAGCCACAGAGGGAGGGGACCTCTTCTCAAATTCTTGGCTGGCTCCTGACCTGTGCATGCAAAAGAGGCTGTTAAAAAAAAAATCCAGCCTAAAGCTGCAACTTGTGTAGTTTTCAATTGGTTTGGTTGGTTATATCAAAAGAAAAAGATATCCTGGATGTTTTAATTATCAGCCTAGGACTTTAATGTAGCATTTCTATATATTTATTTATATTTATTAATTTATTGATTGATTAATAAGATGGGATCTTGCTGAATAAGATGGGAATTGCCCAGACTGGCTTTGAACTGACAGTGCTCCTGCTTTAGCCTCCTGAATAGCTGGAATTATAGGCAAGTGCCATTGTTCCTGGCTTAGCAGCTTCTTTAAATGTTTAAGAATTTAAGAAGACATTCATGGTAACAGGAAAGCTCTAGTGCAGAAACAGAAGCTATTAATAAAAGAATCAAATTAAAAGTCTATGTATAGAAAATTTGGACAAACAATTAATTTGACCTAATTGACATTTATAGAAACTATATCCAACAACTGTGGAATATACATGTTTTTCAAGGGCATGTGTAACATGAGTTACAAAGAACAGAAAGCCATGGAATAGAAAATGGAGAAACAATAAACAATTAATAAAATAAAAATAGTTCTTTGGAAAAATAATAAACTTTGTAAACTCATAGCACAACTGACTTTAAAAAAAGAGTGAAAATGTGATTACCAATTTTTGCATGAAAGAGAAATCATCACTGTGTATCTATAGATATCAGAAGGAAAATATCACAGGATGTGAAAATTTTCTTGCCAATTACATTCAACTAAGAGGTGTTTTTTTAAAAAAGACAAAATAGCAAAGCTGACATAAGAAGAAGTAGAGAATCTAAATAACACATTTTGGGGACATTGGATGTTATCAAGAGCCTTTTCACAAACAGATGTGGTTTAAAGAAAACAACTTTTAATAATGTAAATTATTTCTAAAATATTGAATGGTATTAAAAGGAATTTATCCACTTCTTTAAGTCTTTTGCCTACAAATATTCTTTTTGGTTAGTTTGATTGGGACAGTTTTTTTTCCTTATTGGTGTTACTAACTTAAAATTAGTACAGCCCTATCAATGTTACATAATTGTGCAACCTCAAAGATGAGAATTTATTGTACTGTCGTTATTTGCCTAAACTCAGTCAGCTAATCTGAATTGTTAACATTTTTCCATATAGTCTACCATCTGTCATTGCAGGCATAAAGAGCTGTGGCCAAGTTTTGCAGGGATCTCTAGCTGCTTTTTCTTGGGATATCTAAAATATTTTAGAGGATGAGGATTGAAGAGAATTTTAGAGATAACTTGATCCCATTGATCTGTTTCCTTATTGAGAACAGTAAGATTCAAAAAGATAAAATGACTTCTTCAAGGTCACAAAGTAAAAGAACAGAATTGTTCTTGAATTCAACCCTCCACGCATAGTACAGTGAAATTCTTAGTTGTGCAGTTTTTATACCACTTGTATCTTAAATTTCAACAGGCTTTCTGATGATTATTTGCAAGATGTAAACTGAAAATTTACTTAGAATAGAATCATGGAAAAAGGAGAGAAAGAAAAAAACCAAATGTGAAAATAAAACAGAGTAGTGAACAAAATAGAACTGTGTGTGTTTGGAGATACACATACACACACACACACATATCAGTAAAAGACACAGCATATATTTAATATATACACATACACATGGGCATACTTTGTTGAAAATATTTAAGTGAATCATTATTATGATTCTCTTCTTTATTTGAAGTACTATACCATTTCTTTCCTAAAAATTCCATGAAACCTTAGAATCCACATCTTGGGACCCCCCATAACTTGGCCTGGAGGATTTTTCTTGTTGGAGAGGAATTTTCCATGTATTTTCAGCTAGAGGTCTCCTTAGTGCCTGTGTGAGGCAGAGTATATCATAACCTTCCATCAGTCATCCGTCAACTTCAATAAAGTGTTGGGCAGTTTCTAAAGTACTTTTTGCATTTCACGGGTAAAAATATGTCACACATACATTACTATTGCTGGGTTACAGTAAATACCAGAGAGTCTGTTCTCCCCCTTTCTTCTCAGTTATAGAAATAAAAGGATGATGGAATTAATTTACACATACCCACCAGCTTTGCGGGAACCCTCAGCGGTTGGCAAATAGGGCTGGTTTATTCACCCACTCAGCAGTGTTTTTTTAAGGAGGCAGTCACTTTACTGTTAAAAGGTGAGAGTGGGAAATTAGGCAGACTTCAAGTGCGGCTGCTGCAAGGGTTTTGAATTTCCGCCACTGTGAGCACCCGCTCCTATTCACAGTAGGGAATGGAATCTTTTGCCTTGTATGGTGATGAGTCAAAGTCCTGATTATTTCTGTCCTCATCTTCAGTCATCTCAAACCTGAAAGGAAAATGTTCACATTTATTTTGCTGTTCATCTTCCTGCTTCTTCAATGAAAATATTCATTTTAGTATTCAGAAAGGGAAGAAAAGAAAGTGCTATACTGCCTACGTACATTTGTTTATATACAAGACTTTTCATTAACAGCATTATTAAACAAAGAACTATAATGCTAGAATCCCACATATTGGAGATTAATGAGCTGGGTTGTAAAACCCACACAATGTATATTTGATTTTGTTCTGAAATATATACTTGTGTATTTTTATAAGACAAAGATGATCATTTTGCCTTGAGTTTATGATTCTGCTATATAAATATTCATTATGTACACAAACATGCATAACATTTATAGAAAATAATTTTCATAGATGAGCATTTATAAAATGAAATTGTTTAATATCTGAGTGAAAGTCTTCATGTCCTTAATATTTCAATGTGAATGATGAATTTTGAAATCCTTTGAACTTCATAAAATTGTTGGAACTCAGAAGATTGTTGGAAATCCATAAGATTAAAATATGATTGAGAAAGCCCTCAACTACTTTTAAGGAAAAGGAAGTTTATGTTAAACTTATCAAATAAAGCTAGTCAATCTCAGTTCAACCAGAATTGCCAAAGGAACATTTTTCTGACTTTTATTTTTGTAGTAGAATACTCAAAGCAAAATATCTGAAAGAATTGGAGTCAAATGATGCCATTTTCCATTTTAGTTTTTTTTAAGATTATAGTATAAACCTTGATTTATAGGTTATAGTATACGCCTTAATTTAGGTAAAGATTCCTCTGATTTCTTCCTTTCCTCTTTAATCTCTTTATTCACTTCTTTATACATATTCCACATTTTCTTATTTTCATATGATATCTTTAGTGTAAAGCAGTAAAAGAAGTCTATATGATTACATAAGGAGAACTAGAGTTCATTATCAATATTTAAGCAAAAACTGAATCAAGAGCTACATGGATTATGATTTAGTTTACCATTGAAATGATATTCATCTTTTATTTTGTATGAGATTTACTTTATATATAAACAATCTTCCATTTTGATTTGTTGAGAACCTCTAACTGTATTACAAAAGTCTTCATTTCTCTTCAGGTAAACTATTGCATTTCATGAATATAACACTATTTATTTTGACATCCTTTTGCAATGAGCTGTTAATCCTTTGCAGATTAATGTTATCAGTGATCATTTTTCCTTTTGTTCAACTTCCAAACCATCTTTAAAATGCCTGATTTTCAAGTATAGAATAGATCAATTGATGCACCCTTAAGTCATAGAACAAAAAAACTTACTGTGTTGATTTGTAGTATTAAGATCTGAGGCTGGTCATCAGCTTTTCACCTTTTTAGTATTTCATTTGCTTCAATTCTAGATAAAAAAGTGTCAGCATTTAAATAGACCATCTCTGAAGTAATGTGCACTATTTTGATATTCTTAAGTTCATACTTTTTAAAAATTTATAATTCCAAAAATTCATATAATTCATGTAAATATGTAGATGAGGAATAGTAATATATTTCCTCCCTTATATATGCTTATTACACTTTTGCTTATTTTCGTGGTATCTTTAATGTAAAGTATCAAAAGAAGTCTATATGATTAGGTAATAGAAATCGTAGTTTAGACACTCATACATATGTACACATACTATTTGTAGGACCCCAGAAGTGAGGCTATTACATTTTGATTTAGCTACTTGTCACATTTTCCTCTGATAATTAACACAGTATCTTTTCAAGAACCCCTCCACCCACCATTGCAAACTATTTAAAATAGCATATTCTACCCCGCCTTAATTAACTCCC